TGAACTCAGAAAAGCGACACTAAGATATCCGGTACCTAATAGAAGAGAACTCAAGAAAAGAAAGTGAAAAGCAAAGAAAAGTAGGCAGGAAAAGAAAACAGGCATAATAGGAGTATTGATTTTCTATTTGTGGTCGCTTACTATCCTACTATCCTAATCTCGTACTCTACTAATATCCTACTATCCTAATATCCTGGGACGGTAGTAATCTACCCTTAACTCGGAATCAGAGGTGGTGATTAAGGGCTTTTATCATAGAATAAGGATGACGGACAATCGCGAACTAACCCTGCAGTAAATCACGAGTTCCCTACATTATATGCAAAACTCTGCTGTCACCCGGATTTGAACCCTCGACCACAAGATTGGTAGGCCGCAGCACTTCCTTTGCACTACCGTGCGATTTCCTACACAGTTTAGCGAGATGCACATATAGACGAGGGCTGGTTTCGCGCGAACACGAATCAACCACTGTTAACGTGTTCTCGTGTTTACCACGTCGTTGGAATAGAGTTGGAGTATCGCGCTGGTCCACAGCGATTCTTGACGGGGTCAGCATGAAGGATTCAGAATGACTTTCCCTTTATTCTGCGGCCCGAATAACCATAAGATTGTTGACTGATCTCAAGATCTGATTCCCCAAGTATCGCCTCAGGTAATACCAAGGTGTTTCTTGTATGGTTGACACCAAGATGGCGAACTAGCCTTACTACTAATAACAACAACGACAACTAATACAGTTCGCCAAGGGACGAACTAGAGCCAGAAACTGTTTCTGTGTGAACGTAGCTTCCAGTGGTCAAAAGTCGGTCTCAGAAAATTACCACCCGTTAATGACAGCAAACAATAAAAACATTTATAGTAGAAACAAACGGGTCCATAACAAGAAACAATCCCGATTACTTCTTGGCAGCCTTCTTCACATCACTCTCGGATGACCTAGAAGCGGATGAGCTTCTACGGGCGACGCTTTGATCCTACACCTCCTGAAGTTGAATATAGTGAGGGGAGCGACAGTAGGGGACAACGAATAAGCTCACCTTTGCGAGCTTGGTCATGAGTTTGTTATATGCAGCAGCTTCCTCGCAAGACCTGTTACGCTGTTGTACCTTCTTCCTGGACAGGGCCTTACGTCTTCCAAAGACGGTCGGCGTGATGAGTCTCCGGATTTTCGATGCGATAATACGGGAAGGTTTTCCTAAACACAACTAGCACTAAACTCATGTCATTTCTAAAAGAACGTTCAACAAAGCATTCAAATTCTTGTCATCTTGCTACGAACCCAAAGCCATGTGATACGGAAGCATCACACTGGCCGGTGTCAGACTCTGCGACGGGCATATTTTGCAAGCGACGGATCGCTCAAGCGATCTTCAGTAGAAAGAAGAAGTAAAAGAAGTACACCAAAGCATATGATGAATTCAAGAAAAGTGCAAAGCTCACCCTTCTTTACCACGACGAGGGACAGCACGGACAGAATCCACGAACACCCTTCTTTTTCGCTCTCCAGCCTTTCTTGATCGATAAAAAGAGTCGCCCCTAGCGAGTAGCAGACGTACTCGACCGCTGTTCAACACTCCCTGCTTACTGGTGAAACCTTGCTTGTCATTTCCTCCAGTGATGCGAACAATGCATTCCTGAAATATCGCTTAGATACATGGAAGGAGTCCTGAGGCGACCTTTACGACATATTCCAAACTAACTAACATTTTCCGCCGCGGGAACCTCAGGTCCACCGCTGATAATCCGAGGTTCTCCCCGACCCGAGGTTCTCGCAGCGAATCAACAGTGGACCCGAGATTCCCGCAACGAACGCGCTGTGAAACGCGAAGAAGTCGCTTTCTGTCCTAGTGAACCACACCCCGAACGCGGTATGACGTGCGCTGGCGTTATACTGGTCCGTGAGTAGAGGAGGGCTTTAATGGAAGGCTGCTTTTATTGCCTTGGTTGACTACTTCTCCTTATTCTTTTGAAAAATCAAAAGAAATCAAAGAAAAGAGAGACGAAATTCCCTTTGAATCTATTTATTTTTTTTGATGTAGTTCTTCATTTTCAGTGCATGTTTACTTTGACCTACATACATACATTAAATGTAGGCCCTTTATCAGGACAATCCCAGTTGGGAAGACAGAGAAAATTTAAAGGGATTTTCGTCCCCCAACCCCTTGGGGGAAGATTGAATACGGCCCCTGGAAGATGGAGCTAATTGAAAGGTGATCCGACCACACCTACAGCCAGGTAGGGTATGTCGTTGACCGTATCCCTGCTTTTTCCCAAACTACCTTTGCAAATTAGCACCCCATCCGGGCATCGCGCTTCACTTTTCCTGACTTTCTTGAGTTTCACAACGAAAACGCTTTTCGCTGTGGGTCGTACAGCTTCGCCATACCTGATGACACCTCGCGCTCGACTGTAGTAATACTAAATTTCGCTTTCGTTGATGGCTAGTTCGGGACTGAGGCGTGGTGACTTTCTCATAACTAACAGAGGGAACTGTGCAGTCAGTGGATTTCACAAAGCTAGGCAGAGCTGTAATTTCGTAGACATTTTATGATAGGGAACATGCACATTTTCTCGATGAAGCGATAATTTGGAGAATTATCAAAATCTACTTTACCCAAGCTGCCGTCTTACCTACAACTTGTGCAGAAAGAAGGACCCGTGAAGGAGCACCATGCCATGATTTGGATGTCCCATGTAGTATCTACAGTATATTACATGCATACGGTAAGCATTTCAAAAAGCGCGAAAGTCATTTAGTATGTTAAAGCACGTGCTACTACATTAACATACTAAGCAATAATCACCGTCAAATCAACGGCATAAAATGAGGCGCATTCTGAAGATAAACCTTGAATACAAACAAGAAGGTTAGCAGTGATCGAACTTACTCCGTAGGCAATGAGCAGCGCCGAACTCTATAGTGTTGACATCCAAACAACTTATTTAAACCGTACCGCTCTGAAATAGCAGCATTCAAAAGGAAAGAAAGCCAAAACAAAAGAACGAAAGGAGGGAAAAGAAGCAAGGCTAGCAAGAAACAGAAAGAGATGCGACTGCAGCCTCCCTCAATGCACTGCAGCCGCAAATGGGTCAGTGGCTTGATTCCGAATTAATCGAGCCTGCAGAGAAAAGAAATAGTGTGAGGTTGAGGATGCGCAGAGGCCACGTTTGACACGTTAACCCTCCAGTAAAAAGTGCTTCGGAGTACTTTTTACTCGAGGGTCAACGTGGCGTCTGCGCCTCCTCGAACCTCACACTATTTCTTTTCTCTGCCTAATTACGAATTAGGTTTACAAGTTAACTCTCTAACTACTAATTAAAATGGTTTTTTTGGTTATGATCTAACTGTAGGTTAAACAAGACTTAATGTGTTGAGAAGCGCTCTGAACCAGTTATCTAAACTGACTTTGGTCTGAGCTAATCTCGACACGTTAAGTCTGAATTAATGAAGGTTTGCTACCGTCCCAGTCAACGAGTACCTATAGTGGACGAAATAGGGGAGTAAAACGCGAAATTCGGAGGTTGTGTGGCCTCACCAAAGGCTCTTTGTCCGGCGGCAACCACACACTCACTCAAAACCTAGCCTAACACCTAGTTAACCTAGCACCTTAACACCCTAGTTTCAAGCTTTATGCAAGATTCGCTGGTACCTAGTTCGATTCGCTGGTACCTAGTTCGAATCGCTGGTGCATCGTTCGATTCGCTAGCGATTCGCTCGATTCGCAAAGTA